TGATAAAAGACAAAAGCATCTATCATGTGATTTTTCTATCACCATTCAACAATCTCCACCTTGATAGTAAATCACCTACTTGCCTTGCAAATAATACCCTTTTTACTTCTTCGTGAAGCCTAAAGAAATTAGGCTCCATTCCAATTTCTCTATTGGAACTGTATTCGTGAGCATATCCACCACATTTTCCTTGGTTCCAACTTTCACCAAAAGAACCAAATCATCTTCAACAACTTGTCGAACATAATGGTATCGAACTAGTAAGTGCTTCGTCCTCTTGTGATAAACGAGATTCTTAGCCAAATTAATGGCACTCATATTATCACAAAATATTTCCATGGGCTTAGAATTGATACCCAATTGTCCCATAAGGCCTTGAAGCCAAACCGCTTCTTTGCTTGCTTCGGTTGCCACCATGTATTCTACCTCGGTGGTGGACAATGACGCCGTTGATTGAAGCTTAGACATCCAACTTATCGGCCCATTTCCAAACTTGAAAACATAGCCGGTAGTTGATCTTTCTCTATCAAAATCACTAGTATAATTTGCATCAACATAGCCTTGAATCTGCCCTGAGCTTTTGCTAAACATCATGGCATAATCACTTGTGCCTCTCAAATAACGAAGCACCCATTTTGCACCTTCCCAATGAGCTAGTACACACCATGGCAAACATTAGGCTTCCCACAACACTTGCATATGACACCTTAGCCATATTCTCTTTTTCATCTACGGTCTTCGGACTTTGCTTGGAAGACAACTTAAAGTAAGGAGATAATGAAGTCTTCACCAGCTTTGCCTTGCTCATGCCAAACTTTTCAAGCATCTTTTCCACAAAACTCTTTTGTGAAAGTGACAAAGTCTCACTCTGTCGATCTCTTTGGATGTCAATTCCAAGTATTTGTTTTGCGGGCCCGAGATCTTTCATTTCAAAACTCTTGCTCAAAGATGCCTTGAGCTCATCATTCCTAATCTTATCCTTGCATGTCAAAAGCATATCATCAATGTACAAGACTAAGATTAAATAAAAACCATCATAAAAAAACTTCATATAAACATAATGGTCATAATAACTCATATGGTTTCTAAGACCAATCATGAACATGTCAAAAGTATTGTACCATTATCTTGATGCTTGCTTGAGTCTATATATGGATTTCTTCAACTTGCACACTAACATTTCTTTTTCCTTTTTAAGAAATCCTTCTGGTTGTTGTATGTACACTTCTTCTTCAAGTTCACCATGTAAACATATCATTTTTACATCCATTTGTTCAAGTTCCAAATCATGCAATGCAACAAGCCCAAGCACCAATATTATGGAGTCTAACTTGACAATCGGGGCAAATATTTCAAGAAAGTCGACACTTTCATCTTGTACAAACCAACCTTGCACTATACCTTTCCAAACTTCCATCAATCCCTTTCTTGATTTTGAACACCCACTTGCTACCAATCGTTTTTCTACCCTTTGACAATTCTACCAAATCCCAAATCTTATTCTTACGAAGAGCCAACATTTCATCTTCCATAGCCTTCTTCCAAGATATGAAATCATCCCCTTCTATAGCTTCTTGGTAAATGCTAGGTTCTTCATTCATAATAACCAAAGCATATAGTATTTTAGGATCTACACAGTCCCTCAACCGCTCAGGTGGACGAATTACCCTTGTAGACTTTCTTGTCATGGATGGTGCAACTTCTTCATGGGAATCACATGGGTCACCAACATGCTCTTCGTCATCAATGGCTTCTTCATTGATACTTGTGGGTGCTTCTTCCGGCATATGGCCTTCACTAGATGATGGGACATAAGGTTGAAAATCAATTTCTTGAGTGTCATTATGAGATTTTTTTCCTTTCTTTAATCTCATTTTCTACACCTCTTGTTAATACGGATGACTCATCAAAATGCACATCTCGATTTGTAATTATCTTTTAAGCACTTTGATCCTATAATCAGTATCCTTTCACACCTTTACTATATCCAACAAAAATGCATTTCTTTGATTTTGGTTCAAGCTTATTTCTTTGGCAACTAGAAATTAAAGCATAAGCATCACAACAAAAAATCTTTAATCAAAATAATCACAAGGAGTCCGGACCATACCTCTTGGGGTGTTTTCTCCCCCAAAGCCGCCAAAGGTGATCGATTGATGAGATAACAAGTCATCATCACGGCTTCGTCGTATAGCTCTTGTTCAACATACTTCTTGCTCAACATACTTCTTGCTCACTTTATCAATGTGCAATTCATCCTTTTCGCAATGCCATTTTGTTGGGGAGTGTAAACCGTGGTGAAATATCTCTTGATTCCTTCATCTTTACAAAATCTTGTAAACTCATCGGAATTGTACTCATTCCCATTGTCGATACGAAGTGTTTTGATGTACATACTTCTTGCTCACTTTATCAATGTGCAATTCATCCTTTTCGCAATGCCATTTTGTTGGGGAGTGTAAACCGTGGTGAAATGTCTCTTGATTCCTTCATCTTTACAAAATCTTGTAAACTCATCGGAATTGTACTCATTCCCATTGTCGATACGAAGTGTTTTGATGTGGCGCCTCGTACTCTTCTCAACTTCAGCCTTAAAATGCTTAAAGGCCAAAAATGCATCACTCTTTGATTTAAGAGTGAACACACATACCTTCCTTGAAAAGTCATCTATAAAAGATATAAAATATAATGCACCACCATATGACATTATGAGTAAGGGCCCCCATAAATTCGAGTGAACATAATCAAGTATTCTCTTGGTTGTATGGCTGCCGGCTTTGAAAAATCATCTATGTTGTTCCCCATAGGCACAATGCTCACAAAATTCGGATTTCCCAAATTTTATGGTGGGAATTAGCTTCATCTTCATCAAAATCTCCATACCCTTCACTCAAGTGACCCAACCTCCTATGCCATATGCGTAGTGGAAGATCATTACTCTCCACTATTGAATTTGCCGCATCATCAACAATGGAGCTTCCCAATAGCTTATATAAGTTCCCAACTCTAACACTCTTGATCACAACAAAAATACCCTTAGATACTTTGAGACTCCCCCTTGTCCAGTGAATTTATATCCATGTGAATCCAATAAAGAAAGAGAAATTAAACTTTTCTTGAAGTCCGATACATGTCGAACATGCTCAAGTGTACGTATACTTCCATCATACATCCTTAATTTCACCCTGCCAATCCCAACCATTCTACTACTTGAATTGTTTGCCATCAACATGAAACCACCATCATATGGTTCATATGAACTAAACCATGGCTAGTGTGGACACATATGATGTGTAGCACCACTATCCAAAGTCCAATTTTGCTGGAATTTGGGATTGCTACCCATGACATAAACCTCTTATTCAATAAAACCGGATGTAGATTTCTCCACTAGATGCACCTCATTTTTGGACTCATTGGGTTTCCTAGTTTTTTTGAACTTTTGTCCTTTACCTTTTGTACAATTTTTCTTCATATGTCCCGCTTCACCACATCCCCAACAAAGACACTTGCTTTCTCGACCTTTAGACTTAGATCAACCTTTCGACTTAGATCTAGAAAAATTTCGAGAGGAATTACCTCTTTCACTTGAACGACCCCTTGAAAAGTGCAATTCCGATTCCGGTTCTCCAATAGATGCCTTTTTTAGGAGTTCATAGGCAAGCAAAGCATTAGTTACCGTACTTAAGTCAAGTGAATCTTCTTTAGTGCAACTTAATGTTGTCACTAAATTATCATAAGATTGCGGTAAAGTACATAGCAAACTTACCGCCTCGTCCTCATCTTTCATTTTTTCACCAACACTATCAAGTTCACAAATAATGTTATTGAAAGTGTTCAAATGATCGGAAACTTTTGTCCTCTCTTTCATCCTTAAACTAAATAATTTTCTCTTTAATATAATATGATTTTTAAGATATTTGTTTTGATAAACAGTTTCCAATTTCTCCCACAAGCCTTTTATCGTATTCTCTCACAGTATATTGAATAAAACCTTATTGCTAAACACAATCGAATTGTATCCATAGCTTTAAGGTCTATTTCCTCCCAATCCTTATTACTCATAGAGTCCGGTTTTTTTTCCTTTCCGAGTAATGTTTGTATAACCTTTGTTGGACCAAAAGATCATGAACTTGAATTTTCCATATCTCAAATTCATTTTGCCCATCAAATTTCTCCACCGCAAACCGATTACTCGCCATTTTCCAAAATATATTGCACAAAACTTAATGCTCTGATACCACTTGTTGAAGATCCGAATACCCAAAACCCCAATTTTACCGATCACCGAATATCACACACTCAATACCAAGTATGTAAAATAGATGATCCAATAATAAGCTCAAGGATCGTGCGCAACAATTTAAGAAAATAAATTAGAGATGAAAAATATAGTAATGAGAGAAAATTAGAGAGAAACCACAATACCAATTTAACGTGGTTCACTCCGTACGGCTACGTCCACGGGCAAACCAGCAAGTATTCCACTATCAAAAGAGAAATTTACAAGGGGATACAGTGTTATCTTAAAAGAAGAAATTGATAAAAAAAACATCACCAAAAATACCTTCCTTGTGATCATTCAAGAAAACACGATTTACCGTACTTCACTTCGGATAGCTCAAGACCGCTTCACTTTGGATAACTCAAAAACATGAGTAACATATACTCATACCATTTCTTATAAAAATGGGACAAGAAAATTCTTCATCACACCTCCTTCACTTTCTCAACACAACCCAAGATGCCTTAACCCCTTTTCTAGAGAGAGAGAGAGAGAGAGAGAGAGAGAGAGGGAGTTCAAGAACAAAAGAATTGTCTTTTAAAAACCATTTCTCTTTTTTTTATATAAGCTACTTAATTACAGTGACCAAAAAACCCCCAAACAAATAATGAAAGACAAAAACATGTCTCATGTTTATTTTTCGATCACCATTCAACGGGGCCACCAAAGATGCCGTTACTATGTGGACTCCATTTGTTCAATGACGGAACACACACACTGATGAACTGTGTTTGTTGAAATCTAATGATAATCCAATATTTGTGTTCAATTTCCTCTCACAATTATGCACTGACTCCCAGATTAATTGAATATATCAATTTCTTTTTGTTCAGTATCATACATTGGTTGTTGGGTGGAAGATCTCTCTCATCATTTATCTGCTTAATGGCATGAAGAAGTTAAATTTTATGTACAGAAGTCAAACAGTAAAGTGCAACAATTTCGTCATTTTAATCCCAGGTAAAGGGAAGTTCAGCGAATAGATGCCTGGGCGAGAGGATGGAGAAGCTGAAGAGGGTGCTCACCCAAATAGCGTACAACAATTATAGTGCTCCATTCCACTACACCCCACTTCTCCCCATTCTATCATTTGCCTCGAAACTCTATGGCTTTGCTCTGTTTCTTCGACACCATCTCTATGCGTTTGGCCTCTTCAAGTCTAAAAGGTATCGAAATTTCTTTGGCATTCTATCAACCTCTTTCTCTCTTTCTCACAGTCGCTCTCTCCCCCATCATAGACACCACTTTAAACGGGATTTATCTTCAAGAGCTCGACCTCTCTAAAACACATGATGTGTAAATGTATTGCATTTCTCTCTCTCTCCATTCATTTTAAATTAACACACAGTTTGTATGTTTCACCCTAAGGCTGGGTTATATGCCATTTGTTGATGGTTTGTAGGTTGCCTGTGCCTGTAATAAGCGTGGGTAATTTGACTTGGGGAGGCAATGGAAAGACGCCCATGGTCGAATTCCTTTCTCTCTTATTTTCTCGCTCTGGGATCTGCCCTCTCATCCTTACAAGGGTAAGCTCTGACTCCTCAACAACCATCTCTCTCTAGGGATTATTTTCTGAACTATTTTCTTTTGAGTCTTACTTTTCAAGTCTGAAATCCTCCTCCATTTTTAACATATTGATGCCATTGTTGAATGTTTGATAAACTCTGTATGAATTCTAAAAATTTACACTCTGTGGCTGGCTCTTCAACTTGTTGTTGATTGTTCTATGGATGATTTTGTATGGGACATAAGGCCACATATACCAGGCGATGTACTAGAATAATATCTTCTCCCCCGTTAATCATTTTTTGTTCCTCCAGCACATGTAATCTAAACACTGTTCACTGCCTCTTAAATAATACATTTATTTTTGGATACGTAATGTTAGTTTTTGTGATTTTGTTTCTTTTCAGATGAAATATTAATACTTGATGAGGTAGCTGACTAAATTGGATTCGCCATCTCTTGTTAATGATGAAAAATCTGAGCATAATTTATATAAATTTAGCCTTATATTCTCATTGATTGTCCCCATGAATGGGTTTGTTAGCACAATGATTAAGGTGGTGTTACTGATTTAGCAAGGAATATTACTCCTTGATGGATATTGTGTATGTAATGGTTTGTAATTTCACTCCATTTCCTGTTGTTTGGAAGAGTTTAGCTCTCCAAATGCATTTCCATGACTAGACTGTAGCCTTCGCTGAAAATTCCTAGAGTAGGGATAAGGTGAATGCCAACATTTTCTAGTTTCCTATTTCATAAAAAGATGCTTGTTGCTTTATTGATATCGTTATAATGACTTTAATACAATTTTTTAAGAAGTTAAAGGTTCCACATAGGTGGCCAAGGGTCCTGGCTGCCCAGCCAGGCATCCGGAGCATAATATAGGTGGATGGGAGGTGCTAGGGGTTTTGGTTTTGATATCAAACCCCCCTAATTATGTTTTTTATTAAAAAATTGTTTTAGATGTTTGAGCACGATAATGTGTTTATTTATTGCACATACATACATGAATTTGCAAACTTGATTGGCAATCTAGAAGATTGTAACTTGAATCATTGGAAATCTAGAAGATTGAAACTTGGGCAAACTTGGAAGTTGAACATGAAACTAAAATAAATCAGTCATATATCATTATGGATGTGGACCATAGATAGGCCTTATGGATTAAACATGCTGGACAAAGACAAGTCTCGTAAGACTTGTGAGTCCACTCCTAACCCCAGCATAAGAAAGCAAGAAAGCATATTTCATATTGCGAATTTAGATTCATCTTTAAGTTTGACGGCCTCATCGGGAGCATCACTGCCATCTCCATCATCGCTACCACCTGCATTTGATGCCAAGCCATATCATCAGAGACATCATCCTCCTCAACATAGTCCTCTTCCTCATATGTCTTCTTTGAGTCATCCTCCTCCTCTTCGTCTGTTGTGCTCCTTAAAGATCTAGTGGCCCAAAGAGGGCTTGACGAGGTTCCTGCATCCTTATGAACTTGGCCCAGCTCAAAATATCTTCAAGGAACAGCTAAACCTCTCCAACGTCAACCAACTATTCACTGAAGTCTTCCATATCTCTCACGTTATTGTGGTAATAGGAAGTACTCATATATCAGTCCTTCGATATTTGATTACTTAAGAAATAATACTGTTCAATCTCTTTTGTTGTGTTAGTTTCTCTTTGTACTATGGGCTTGTTGGTTAATATGTATAAATTCATGATTAAAAAAAAACAAAAAAAGAACCGGAAGTTAGAGAATATTGGCATATTTTATTTAAAGGGCAATATGACTTGAGAAATTACCAACTCAAGTGATGTAGCATTGAGCTCATAATTAGATGAGCTACAAGTGAGGTTTAGTATGCGAAGAGCCATTCTTTGCAAGTTCTCGGCCTTTCCCCCATGTGTGGCCCACCATAGAGCTATGTTATATAGCAATGACATTTAATAAAGGCATGTTTATATAGTAGTAATAATATTGTTTTATAATACTCTGATATCACTCAAGTACTCAAATCGCAAATTCACAATGCAAAAGCAAACACAAAGATTACTTGGAAGGAGTTTAGTCCTCTGCCTTATTGCCATATCTTCCCAAATGGCTCCAACCGTCCATCGAGTACTTGTACATATTTAAATCCATGGTTATGAGGTCTTGGAGCTCCACGCCTAGTTTGATTGTCATGTTGCACATATTAAAGCCATCCATGGTCCAACACGTAGAATCAATCACATAATCACTATAAAAATATTACGGGTTGAGAAAATACCCTCTGGCATTCAAGGCCTATATTGTTGGCTATTCCAATTATCACTGCAATCTTCAAAACTCGTGAATATTTTTTCTCATTATACGCATTGTTCTTCGCATTTCTTCCTTGGCAACCTCCATTGCCTTATAAATATGATCCATGGGTGGTTCTTTCTCACTATCTATCAAGCACAACACGTTCACTAAAGGATTGAATGCTTAGAGGGACTAGACAAACTCATTCCAAAATTGGGGTTGCATGTCAATATAAACGTGCTCTGCCCCCTAGCTTGGACCACTTACTTTTAGCGCATTATTCAAAGACAAAAATGGACCTTAATTCATTATTAAGGTGACCCCATATTTTCCTCATGCATCCCTATGGATTAGTCATTTGCGAGCTCAATCTCCTTCTTGAATAAGGGTTTCCTGAGCTCATCGGGTGTTGGGGCCTTCAACCCAAACCCAACTGGCTTCTGTTTTGAATATGGCTTGAAAGCTCTTCAAGCTAGCGGTTTTGAGAGATATGCACTTCAATACATGCATTAGTCCATGTATTGGCTGATGGCTTATTTTCTATTGAAGGGGCATGGGACTTTATTAGGCATCAAGGTTCATCACAACCTATTTTCCATGCACTTTGGTCTTCTAAATGTCACCCAAGGGTGAAATGGTTCTCATGGCTGGCCTTGCACAATCGGTTATCCACTTCAATTTTATTGTAGCAGCAGGGCATGCTATTAGATTCTTTATGTCCCTTTTGTAGCAACCATGATGACAGACTCTTTCATCTATTATTTCAATGTGCTTTTGCACAGGGTGTATGGAAATCATTAGCTTGGAGATGTGGAAAATTGTTTATCCTTGGCACTTCTATCGCATATTTACTTAGGTGGTGGTTACTTTTTAGGTTTTAATCTCATGGACTTCATAATATCTGGTCTTCCATCTTTTTTATTACAATTGGGTTTCTATGGGAGAAGTGCAACAGGAAGTCTTTGAGTCAAGATCCACTAGGAGAGAGCTTATTGTGGAACGGATTACTTTACATGTTCAGGCACTAGCAAAAGTTAAAAAGTGGTCGTTCCACTTATCAGAAAAGGTCATTATTGGTAATCTTCAGCTAACTTGACATCAACAGAGGTCATAATGGCTTATTCCAGTGGCCTGGTCATTTCTTGAGGCTCAGAATTACAAGCTCAATATTGATAGTGCTTTCTTGAGAAATCCAGGTTTAGTTGATGGTGGTGGAGTCATCAGGAACAGAGAGGGTGGTTTCATTGCTGCTTTTGTAAAGCATTTGGTTTTGCTTCTAATAGCCATGCAGAATTCTTAGCACTTGAAGGAGTTCAATTGGTTCATCAGAGGAATTGCTTTCCAATACAGATAGAAAGTGATTCGGCCCTGCTTGTGGATGTCATTCAGAATCGATGTCGTGCTCCATGGCGGCTAAAGACGATTGCAGATAATTACTGTAACAGACTTTCTTCTCATCGATGGTCCATTGACATGTTTTTTGGAAAGCAAATATGGTTGTTGATGCCCTTGCTAAGAGAGCATCTGCTGGCCTTGGTGCCACTGTCTTGGAGCAGTTCTGTATAGTTGTTTATTTGCTTTTTGTCTTAGCACGGCCTCCAAACTAGGGTATTATAAGAATCCATAGGCCTCTTTTTGCAAGGCTTCTTCTTTTAAACACCTTTGCCTACTAATTCTAGTTCCACCATTATTTCCCATCCTGCACATATAATAATAATCATCTTCTTCCTCTCTAAAAACATTCACTGACCTGACCATCTCCCCATATTTCTTCTTCTTATCTCCATCTTTGTTGCATCTTCAAATGGCCCAACATTTCCCTCCTAACATCGGCTGGTACCACTTTGCATGGGACTACATTACCTGTGATACAAACCAAGTGTTTCTTTAATTGATGAGCTAGCTGTTTTTCAAAAATTGCATTGGACTTTATTTTTATCTATTTGATCGGGCAAGGAGGCATATTTCTACCTTGATCAGTTTTTTATTTGAACTAGAAGATGACAGTGTCACCTTCTCACCAAAAATAGTAACTTAACACCCAAATTCGAAAATTTTACAGAAACAAAACCCAATTTAAAATACATGCAAGATGCAACAAATCAAAACATAATGGATAATGCATAGCTGTTGGGATCTCTTAACCTAGGTGGCAATCCTACTCCAGAATCTTGCTCCGACCTTGCGGGAAAGGGATATTCAAGGGGTTTGGAGTTTTAAATTTTGGGATCTCGATCTCCATTCTTGATCCCGACCTTAATGATTGAGAAAATGAACAAACTGGTGATTTTTTTTTTGGCCAACTTGCAATTCAACTTGCTTTTAGGGCATGTTTGATAACAGGAAGCAAGAACATGAACTGGAAATTGGAAGTTACTTAAGAAGTTCATGGTTTCTATGTTTGGTAATTCAAGTAGCCATAAAACCTTTAACTAGATTAGGAATTAGCAATTCTATATTAATATGTTTAAGAGACAATAGACATAATAAATTTTCAGATTCATTATTAGGTATAGTAGAATCAAGTTTATGTAGTGGACCAGTCTATATCAACTGTTTTCCTGATTACTCAGTATCACTGAGTGATCCCAATATTTTAAAAGTATTAACACTTAATTTGAAATCCAAGGATTTGATATGAATCCAGGGTCTCAGAATATTGCATTAGTTTATAGAATCTGTTATAAAGTAATGAATACCTTATTTCCTAATGTATTACAAGTAGATACTAAGGGA